TTCAAAGGCAATATTAAAAGATATAAAGCACGTCTTTTGCGAAAGGCTTCACTCAAAAGGAAGACATAGATTATAAAGAGACTTTCTCTTTAGTTTCTTCGAAAGACTCTTTTAGAATTATTGTGGCACTGGTAGCACATTTTGACTTAGAGTTACATCATATCGATGTTAAGACGACTTTTCTCAATGGAGACATTGTTGAAACCATTTACATGGAACAACCAGAAAACTTTGAATTAGGAAATCCAAAGTCAATAGTTTGCAAACTAAAGAAATCCATCTATGGACTCAAGCAAGCTTCACGTCAATATATGGTACCACCAATTTCATAATGTCATTACTTCTTTTGGTTTTAAGGCTAATGTAGTTGATGAATGTGTGTACCGTAAGAACAGTGGGGGAAAATATATCTTCCTGTTATTATATGTAGATGACATCTTATTAGCTTTCAATGATTTAAACCTGCTATAAGAAATCAAGAACTTTCTGACAAAGCATTTTGAGATGAAAGATCTTGGAAATGCCTCTTTTGTCTTGGGTATACAAATACTGCGAGATCGTTCTCAAGGTATCTAAGGGTTATCACAAAAAAATTACATTGATAAAGTATTGAGAAGGTGATAACTCTCCAAAAGAGAGTTATTCTGGTGATCATCTGGGTGAAAATGTACATTAAAATGTCAAAGTGTGTCGATTTTAGGTCATAATTAGCACGAATAGTGTTAAAATGTAAATTCTTAGCTAAATATCTTTAATCTTGAGAACTTTGGCCAAAAATAGCATAAACTCGCATATTTGTGGTTCATTTGCACATATTTTTAAAGAAGAGCTAAGAAGAGAAGGAAGTGTTGAACCAGAGAAGAGCAGTCAAAGAATTTTCAAGACGGAGCATATAAAAGCTGGAGCATAGCGATGCCAGAGCATGGAGTGACCTTACAATTAATTCCAAAAACACGGGATTCACTTATGTCCGTACAATTTCCAGTCAGGTGCCCTAAAAACAGGACCCGATATTTAAAGGGTATGTTGCCCTAGCCGACAGACACGCAAATCCCAAGAGAGACAAAAATTGAGAGCTGAAAAGACACGGGAACGGAATATACCCATTTTCTGGAGGAGAGCTGACGCCATAAAAGGGAAGCTCGCTTGCTGGAACGAGCTGACTGCTTCTTCTTCTCTGCCATTTAGCTATTTTTCTACTATGAATTGTATTTCTTCTTCTTCCATTTTTTTTTCTTTACACATTATGAGCTAAACCCCATTTTGGGGAAGATTTACATGTAACTAACTTGAGACCGAACCTCTAGTTGCTACATTTATTTTTAAGCAATTCTGATTTTATTTCTTAATCTTCGCGTCACTATTGGCTGCTGTTTCGTGTATGCGAGCTTTTGTATTGACCCGGAAGGGTTTATGAGTACTGATTTGTTTTGCTTGTGATTAGCGCTTTTCATAGTTATAGGGATACTCAGGAATGTGGTCCCCTAATCATGCCTATAGCTTGGGTTTATTGCTTGGGTATTAGCAACGGGAGTTGTATTTACTCATGTTTGGGGTGTCACGAAAGGGAACCGAGTCGAGCTGGACACTAATAAATGTTAGCTACACTAGAGGGTAGGTTGATAACTTGTGAAAGCATGCTAAATCTCCACCGCCTTTTCCATATCTGTTATTCCCCTGTTATCGCTTTCTATGCTACTGCTTTCATAAGGCTGCATAGTTGATGAAGACCCAAACTACACAGATATTGCTACAGGAATTTGGAATCTCAACTTATTCCAACTCATGGATCTCAATAAGTCGAAATAACTTATACTTCTTTGGCCTACCCCCATGTATAGATCCTATATCAAAGTTTATGTTTTCTAACAGAATTTATAAAAAATAAATAAATAAATAAAGGCGAGGATAAAATTATTAAATTTGTTATCTATGGTGGCGAAATTCGTTTTTTCGTTGCTAAAAGTTTTTCGCGACGAATTTCAAATTTCATCACCAAAGGTCTACTGCGACGAAATTGTTTTCGTCGCTATAGACCTTTGGCAATGAAAATAATTTCATCATTAAGAGAGAGTTTTACCGACGAAATATTGAGCTTTGGCAACAATCTTGTGCATCGGTAAAATTCGAATTTCTTGTAGTGAAAAATATAATTGCTTGGTTATCCAATTCCTCAAGTTTATGTTAGAGCAATCTTGTTAAATCAATCCCTGTGGAGACAATATTTTATTACTTGCTACTACTTTATTGTGATACTTGCACATGCTTTAGCACACGTAGGTTGCTAGATGCAACAGGTACCGATGAAGTCGTAGTACATTTAATTTTGGAGCCTACGTGCCCTACTCATGAGTTGAATAATCAATACGTGACCTTAAAAAAAATTATAGGTATATATAGAGCTTCCTCATTTAACCAATTTCATCAGTCTGACATGGTGATTAATCATACAATAATTGTATCTAAAAAAACCATATAGTTATTATCCCATAAATTTTTTATTTTGATAGTCTGAAATTGTTTTCTCATTGTCGCACTAAATTTTGAGTGGTAAAGGTAGGTAAGGATGTGTGTAAGCAGTAAAAAATTTGTGTCTAGAATCTGCCAGCGTTTGAAAGAATATATAATATCTCATTCGCAAACATCCAATTAGAGGACAGAAAATGAAAAGATCATGCCAGCATGGTTTAAAAAAAATTTTAAATAATTGATAGTAACTACTTATATCCAACAAGGTACACATTTTTTTCGGTGGTTAAATTATATAATAACTTTAAAGCTAAACGTGTTTGACTTGAAACAATCTTAGGTTGGTGATCTCGAAGATTTTTCTTAAGAAGCATATGAAAACCCGTGTTTGGTTGGTAGGGGAGAGCCTTCACTTTTCGAAGGCGATGGATGCCATTTTTTGCTATTTTTCTCACAATTTTATGATAAGCTGATGTGAAATTGAAAAAATCTAGTGCAAAAATCAAAAGAGTTGGAAGGTAGAGCCAATACTATATAACAACATGTGAATGTTACTTGGCATTTGCATTTACATCAATGTCTTTTTTCTAAAAATTGATTAGGGGACTAACATTAGTAACATAATTACTATCAATGCTAAAATTGGAAAAAGAAATAGTGTATAGGAGGAATGGTAGCTAGTATATAATAGGCAAACTAGCCATTGTATTAAAAGATGGAACAAAATATGTTCAATTTTGGACAACCATGACAACTCCTAAATCCATGTCATGAGAGATAAAACTTTTCATTTTTAGATTCATGCTTTTCTAGTATTAAAGTTAACTCGAGAAATCTGTATAGACGTGCTCAATTGAGTGAAAATTTTGAATTAGATCATGCTATTTGAAATTCTAGGGAGTAATTTTTTCGTAGTAGTCCAAAGGGATTTAGTTTTGGGCATGCTTCGTTTGCTTTGTTGTTCTTCTTTAGACACATTTGATATGGTGTTAAAACATTGGTCTGAGATATCTTTGCAACCTAAAGTTTTGGTTAAATTACAAAATTGTGTACAAAATTTTGATAACAAAATGAATATATACGTTGCAAACTTACAATATTAATTGCCACTTATTTTATTATTACACACTCTTTCTTCCATTTGTTTGGCATGTCCAATAAGCTCAATGTGAATCTCACACCATTATTTAGTCAACAATTTCAACAAAACATAGACTATATACATATAATTAGAGTTCAAAATTTAGCATGGTAATCAAAACATTTTTAAAGTTTAAGAAACTAAACAAAACACAATCACGTTCAAAGTTCACGACCAAAATTATTTGATGCGTTTGTAATGCAGGTTCGACATCTTAAGATTAGGAATATCAAACCTGAAATTTAAGTTTGGCATCCTGATATATAAAACCCACGAATTCATCCAAAACAAATCAAAAGCCTTAACAAACCCACGACACAAACATGAATTCGACATCATAAGCCAAACCGTGACACGGAACACATAACCTAACATGTAATACCCAATCAAACCCCACTATTTTCCTTCAAAATTAGACCTTTTGTGAATGTGAAAAGAAGAAACTAGTGGGAGAAAATGGTAAGTAAGTAAAGTAAAAACTAGAGAGCACCCGAAATGGTACACAAAACAAATTATATCAAAACCACTGTCGCTCTCTGTTTGGTGGGCAGAGAGATGGAGAAGCCGCCTGCCAGAAGAGTACCAAAGGCCCATCGCCTCAGGTGAGGTCCTAAAAAAGATGGTCACATACCCTAAACTCACCAATTTAAGGCCACTTTTCAACCCCAAAACTCC